GCTGAGTTGCTGAAAGTAAAGGGTTGGGAGCTGAGGGCATCTGGCGATGATTGCTCTACCTGTGGACCCAGCTCCAGGCAAGAATATTGGTTGCCATTTCCTTCTCCAGGGGATCTTCCCAACCCAGAGACCAAATCCACATCTTCCGCATTGCAGGCAGATTCTTTACCATCTGAGCCACCAGGGAAGCCCCTGTGCCATTTCCTAGTTATTAAGCACTGCTCTGGAGATTACTGACTTGTTTGGATAATTATGCGTCAAAGACTGGTTCTGTCCTGGGCTGTGTGCCAGGCTTTGGGGATAAAGTCTTGACTTCAGGGAGCTTATGGTCTAGAGGTGGGAACAATCATTCAATAAATAAGCACATGATTACAAACTGGGGCAAGGGCTCTGAAAGGATAGTTCAGAGTGCTCTGAAAGAGGGTAATGGGAAACCTAATTTATATTGGAGAATCTAGGCAGGCCTTTCTGTGTGTGTGTGTATGTGTTTTAGTCGCTCAGTCATGTCTGACTCTTTCTGACCCCATGGACTGTAGCCTGCCAGGCTCCTCTGTACATGGATTTCTCCAGGCAAGAATACTGCAGTGGGCTGCTATTTCCTTCTCCAGGGGTTCTTCTCGACCCAGGGATCGAACTCATATCTGCCGCATTGCAGGCAGGTTCTTTATCTTCTGAGCCACTAGGGAAGCCTGGCCTTTCTGTGAAGTGACATTAAATCTCAGACCTAAACTGCAGAAAGTGGCCAGTGTTATCAGAGTGTAGTAAGTGAGACAGAGACAGCAAAGACAGGGCTTCCCTGGTGACTCAGTGGTAAAGAATCCACCTGTCAATGCAGGAGACAGGGGTTCGATCTCTGGGTCAGGAAGATCCTCTGGAGAAGGAAATGGCAATCCACTCCAGTATTCTTGCCTGGGAAATCCCACAGACAGAGGAGCCTTGTGGGCTACAGTCCATGGGATTTCTAAAGAGTCAGACACAACTTCAGTTCAGTTCAGTTCAGTCACTCAGTCGTGACCGACTCTTTGCGACCCCATGAATCACAGCAAGCCAGGCCTCCCTGTCCATCACCAACTCCAGGAGTTTACTCAAACTCATGCCCAGCGAGTCAGTGATGCCATCCAGCCATCTCATCCTCTGTCATCCCCTTCTCCTCCTGCCCCCAATCCCTCCCAGCATCAGGATCTTTTCCAACGAGTCAACTCTTCTCATGAGGTGGCCAAAGTATTGGAGTTTCAGCTTCAGCATCAGTCCTTCCAATGAACACCCAGGACTGATCTCCTTTAGGATGGACTGGCTGGATCTCCTTCAAGCCCAAGGGACTCTCAAGAGTCTTCTCCAACACCACAGTTCAAAAGCATCAATTCTTCAGTGCTCAGCTTTCTTCACAGTCCAACTCTCACATCCATACATGACCACTGGAAAAACCATAGCCTTGACCAGATGGACCTTTGTTGGCAAAGTAATGTCTCTGCTTTTTAATATGCTATCTAGGTTGGTCATAACTTTCCTTCCAAGGAGTAAGCGTCTTTTAATTTCATGGCTGCAATCAGAGCTAACAAACAAAAGTGAGACAGACCGTATAGTTGGCCTGTGTTTTTATTAGACGCCATAATACTGTTGTTATCTCCTGTTACACCAGCTCCTATTATAGAGGGCTGCCAGAGAGTGTACGGTGGCTGCTATAACTCTGGTTCTCTCTACTCCTTGCATAAGCCAGAGTTTGGGAGCACACATAGGAGTCTAGTAAGTAAACACTGCTGCTCTTTTACATAAAGTACATCATCTATCGTGGGACAGGTATCATCACCAGCCATTAAGTGCTAGAGTGCACCTTGTCTATTTTACTATAAATACCATGGTATTGGTACTTGTATGATTAAATATAGGGCTTCCCTGGTAGCTCAACTGGTAAAGAATCCACCTGCAATGCAGCAGACCCTGGTTCGATCCCTGGGTTGGGAAGATCCCCTGGAGAAGGGAAGAGCTACCCACTCCAGTATTCTGGCCTAGAGAATTCCGAGGACTGTATAGTCCTTGGGGTCACAAAGAATCAGACAGCTTTGCATGGTCAAAGCTGGGAAATCTGATTCCTCTTTCTAGATTTGATTACATGGTTCTTTAGCATAGGAGAAGAAAAAGAGAAGGAAAAAGAGGAGGAGGGATAGGGGGAGAAAAGTCACTTGGAGGGCATGAAGTAGATTTTTACTATTTGCAAGCACAGAAAGCTTCACAAAGATCCTTCTTCACAGAGTTGCTGCTAGCATTAAATGAGACAAGTGTGTGAGCGCCTGACATGGCACTGGTGAGCAAGCAGAATCCTTGGGCTGGCATTTTCCAGGTGTTTTATAGCCCCTAACACCCCTGGGGACAGGGTGGTGGTGGGGCAGGTGAGGGCCGGTGGGGAAAGGGGTTTCTTTGGGAAACACTGAACACTTTATTCCTCTCTTGGGATTTCTGTTTACTGGCGTATTCAAAATGGAAAAATCTTAGTGTAGAAGAGAGTGTTTAACTTTGCCTAACTGTATGTTTCCCTAAATTTACTTGAACTCTGAATCCATTCTTCCTCTACAATGCCTGGGCAAGTCCCACCAAACCATGGGACGCTGCGCTGTGGCCGGTAGGGTAGCTTTGTGAGGGGCTGGCCTACAGAACCTCTAAGGTACCTTGAAGCTCTCCATTTGTAGACTTGATTATTATTTTTCACATCCTCCAAATATTTAATGGTGAATTTTCATGACTGATAGGTTTTTTTTGTTGCTACTCAGAGCTGTTTTAGCAAGAGGATTAATGCCTGTGGTTAGAGATTTTCTTCAGCTCTTGTAATGAGAATCACATACTCTTGCCTGGGAGAAGGCTGGGCTTTTAAACTTCAGTACAGCACCATTTCTGAGGGGTGGAATTCTTTTATCCTGGAAAGCCCCAAATCACAAAACTTGGACAGCTTGGGGACATACAGGAAGCAGTTACCTCCCCAGCACCACCCGCACTGGCCATCTGAAGCCCAGAAAGAGGAGGCATTTTGGCCAAGGTCAAAGACCTCTTTCCAACTGGTCATCCCCGGACAGCAGATGATGACATAAATAAGTATGCGGACTGGATAGCACTGACCTCTCTCTAACCATGGCTGCTCTTGTAATTAAACAGAAATGTTAACATCAATCAAATGGTCCTTTCACTACCATTATCGCCAACATTGCATTCTGTCCAGGAAAGGTGGAAAGGCGCTGCTCCCAGGCCTGCAGCAGCCATAAAAACCTGCCAGTGCTAATGAACCATCACTTGAGCCAATTAAGTAGAAGCAAAACTGTCTTTAATTAAGGCATCATGCATCCCATGGGTTCTCTCTAACTCACACCCAGGGGTACTAGGAAGCCTCTGTGGACCCAACTGCCACACTCTGGGAAAGCATTAAACCAGCTCTGTTTCAAAAGCACCTGATGGGATGTCAGGAAATGTGGGTTCTGGTCTGAGTTTTGCCACTGACCTTGGGCAAGTCCCATTTGATCTCTGAATCTCAGTGCCTTCATCAGGAAAGTCATTTCTCTTTTTTTTTCTTGTATCCACCAAACTCTTTTTGAGCATCTATCACGTGCTGATCCCTGATGATAGGCACTGGGGAACACAAGGACCATTAAGGCTCAGTGTTTTCCCTCTGGTGGTTTTAGGACCATGGGGTCCTTGCAATGGGGTAAGACACATTCAATAGCCAAGCCTGTGGGAGCTCAGAGAAGGGAATGGCCAATTCTCTTTGGGGGATTGGGGGATGTTTTTCAGAAGAGGTACAAGCTGATTTGTAAGGAAGGATTAGTGAGATGAGGGGTCTTCCCTGGTAGTTCAAAGAGTAAAGAATCTGCCTGCAGTGCAGGAGATCTGAGTTTGATCCCTGAGTTGGGAAGATCTCCTGGAGAAGGGAATGGCTATCCACTCCAGTAGTCTTACCTGGAGAATTCCATGAACAGAGAAGCCTGGTGGGCTACTGTCCATGGGGTCACAAAGAGTCAGATACCACTGAGCAACTAACACAAAAACACACAGAGTGAGATGAGGAAGGGACTAGGAAGCCCTGGACAGAGGGCCTTTATGAAGGTGAGGTATCAGGCCCCAACGGGAACTGTGTCAGGGACCAGTCCTTCCTTAGAGTGGCCAGAGCAATGATTCTAAGACTAGAGGGTGGGGGGTGAGGCAACAGGTCACCCAGAGTCTTGCATCAAAGCCGGGGAGCTTGAATATCACCTTGGGAATTCTAGGACCAATCAGCTCTCAAGCTGTATAATTTGGGCAGTGAAGTTAGTCAATGATTTACTGGTTGTATGACTTTGGGCCAGTGTGTTGCCTCAAAGGTGAAATAAGGCTAATAACACACTCTTTCTCAGAGGATTCAATGTTCTCTCAGCAGATGGTTCCCTGGGCAGTGGAATTTTCGGCTGTAAATTATGGGGCTAAGCCAGGAGAAAGAGTTCAAGATGTGAAGTGCAAGAGTGAGTGTGGGGCCAGCCAGTATGCTCACACCAAAGAGAAATGCTGCCCACGTGATGCAGGCTGCCACTCTCCTTCATTAATAATCTCCAAGAAGAAATCCAGAAACAAAATGGTAACTGTCATCACCACCATATGCTCAAAAGCACATTCATCGCTACTGTTTCTTTGTGAGCACTGATGCTCACAAGTGCCCTGCCAGGGAAGTAATTATTATCTTAATTATGCAAGAGAAACTGCAGTGCATCAGAGAGGGAAAGTGAACTCCCCAAGGTTACACAGGAAGTAGGCACCAAAACTGATACTAGGTCTCCTGGTTCCTGATCCAGCAAACTGCCCAGGAAACTCCAGCAAATTATCTCACATGACTGTGCATGAGCTAGTCAAGATCAGCTCATCACATCCTCAGGAGCTGGGGTGAAACTTCTGATGAACTCATGGGTGAAGAAAATTCCTCCTCAAAAAGAGCCCCCTTTTCTTCTTGCTTTCATACCCCTACCCAAGCATTCTCCCCCTTCCCTCACCTGTAATTGCCCAGGTAGACACCATCAGGATTGAGCATAGGTGCAATCTTGAAGACCAGGTGTTCCCGTAGGACACGAGCAATAGGGTGCTGGCTTATGAGGAAGTCAATGATCCCTGCGAAAAAGAGAAGCATCTGGGTTAGTGTCAACATGTTTTAGGAAGGAGGGAGCACCTTTCCTCAGCTGGGAAAAACAATGAGAGATCAATAGGTGATTTGGGGGCCTATGTTGTTAGCCACTGTGGGTAAATGGCTATGAATTAGGTGTTGCCCAGTGAATTTTACAAATAATATCTCTGTTTCCAGGAGACAGCTCAAGACATAATATTGAAGGTCAAGGCCTGGAGGACAGCGTGTCCTGCTCAAGAGCACAGGAAGGGCCTCCAGGAAAAGACAGCGTGTGAGCTATTCCTTGGAGTCTCGACAGACAGAGATAGGGGAGAGGCAGGATAACTCTGAACAATAAAAGCAGAGTTGCTCCCTAATGTGTCCACTGCTAGCTAAAGGCTGACATTAGTTTGGATGATTGCAGGGCCAAGGACCTTAAGAGGTCTCAGTTCTCATGAAGCTGAAGGGTACACCAGGAAACAGAGAGAAGTCACAAAAAGACAGGGAGGTTCTGTCAATAACTCTGCTCCTTTCCCCACTTAAAGGGTCCTCTGCTTCCAGACTCCAGGGCTGGCTGCCTTCTCTGTTTCTCACTAGGACAAACACCACCTTGCCTCCCAGTCACCAGATTTAGGACTGTCTCCTCCATGACTCTCCTCCTATAGTTAGGCAGTCCCCAAGTCTCTTCTTTGAAACTAGCAAATCTGCCCCTCATCTTTATCCCCCTACCTCTCTTCTAGGCCACCATCACATCTGGCCTGGATGAGAGCAACCAGAGCTGGCCTAGGTGACAGCGACCACCTCTGGAAGGTGCTCTTATCACTACAGCCAGAGGGATTGTCCTGAAGTGCAAACCTGACCCTGTCACCACCTTTGTTGATGTCGTGGCCATGGCCTGCACACATCTATAGGGGAGGAGGTAAGAAAACAAGAACTGAGTCTTTGCCCTGATCCTCTTGTTCTCCATGTTTCTACTTATTCCTCGGAGACCTGAAAAAAAAAGACAAAATGGAACTCTGGCATTCCATGAGACACCTGCCATGCTGGAAAGTGACAAGAGAGCACACAACCCTTCCAAAAGCACAGAAGGAGAACAGAGAGAGCCCTTCCCCTGCTGGAGAGAGCAGAAAATGTATCAAGGAGAAAGAAGCTTTGAGCTGGGCCCTGACAGATATGTAGGTTTTGACAGCCAGACAGGAGGAAGCAGCGGGGTAACTAAGAACAATTCATGTGCCCAGTGGCAGACACTTAGCTCTTGGAATGATAAGTCATTCTGTGGCACGTTCCAGAGCTGCTGTGACCAGGGAGGGATATCTTGGGCTGAGAATCCATTGGCAGCCGAGAGCCAGTTGGACATCATTTACTGCATGGCTGACGCAGCGGTAGACCAGATGCCCTAATTTATTTGTTGGTTTTCATATGAAAGCTGTAGTTTGCCAGTAAATAGGCAGGGTAATGATGCCAAGCACCCTTGTTAGGGGCTAATAATTGCTTAATCTGTCCACTAATTGACCCCAGCTCCCGGGGCAGCCCTCCATCAAGGAGCCAGACATTGCTCAGGGCCTGGCCATACTGCCTCAGAGAATGGCTTCTGGAAATGGAGTAGTTCATTGTGAGCCATCCTCCTTCACAGATGACCAGATTAATTGGGCTGCAGATCAGGCAGCTAATAAGAGGAAGAGAGGAAACAAAGCCAGACTGGAGGCTGCAGCCAACCAGAGTGAGCATGGGGCAAGGAAAGCAGAAGTTTTAGACTCATCTCTTGGCTAGAGGTCAGACTCAGTTCAACAGGAATCTTTCGTATTGAAGAGGAAATTGGGAGGAGATCTTTCACTTTTATTTGGTGTGGGGAGGGGGTGATAAGTGAAGTGGAAAATGAGGAGAAATGTCAGAGCAAGAGTGGAAAGGAAATGCCATCCCCCAGTATGGGCCAAAAGCATGGAATGGACCAAGGAAGCAGAGAGTGTGCGGACTTGGAGATCTGCATGGACTCCTCATTGGATGTTAGTTTTCTCTGACCAGTTTCCTCATCCTGATATAGAGGTAATGATCTGGAAGAATTCTGTGGGACTGACTTAGAACTCCTACATTTTGACTGCTGGTCCCAGCACCTGAACATTGTAATGTGCTCTCATAAAAGTCACTTAGATCAAAGGTTGGAAGCAGTGGGGGTAGTAAAAATCAGAATGCAGCCTAGAATTAGGTGTTGTTGTCTATGAAGTTGACTGACCGTGGGATCTGGGAACAAGGATACTGAATTGGAGAAGTCAACAAACCAGCAGTCAGAGAACCTGGGTTCTAGTTTTGGCTCATCTTTAAACTTAGATGAAAGAACACAGTGATTCCCAAGGATGCATCCCACAGTGACAGGTTATGATTCCACCTACTTCATTCCTTTACCTCAAAGTAGCAGAATCCTCATATGTCAAATGAGGAGACCACACTTCCTCCTTCTGGGAGACACAATCCACCCCGTGAAGATCAGTCTCTGCCCCTTCAGTTGTTGGCTTCAGTTGTTGGTTTGTTGGCTTCTCCAATTCAGTATCCTTGTTCCCAGATCCTATGGTCAGTCAACTTCATAGACCACAACACCTAATTCTAGGCTGCATTCTGATTTTTACTACCCCCACCACTTTCAACCTTTGATCTAAGTGACTTTATGAGAGCACGTTCAGTAAACACATTTGCAGATCCTTCATCAGGAAGGCAGAAGAAAGCAGGACTGGGGGCTAGAGAGAGTGGAGGAAGAGAAGGAAATGTGGCAGAGTTTGGAAATGGAAGCTGGGTGGCCAACCTCACTGCCCTGTGCTGACCTTGCCTGGCCACGATGACCAGCACCAAGTAAGCCACAACTAAAGATTCAATGTTGCTGTTTCTCCCGCTGTACAGAGCCAGGCATGCAGCAGGTGCCCAATAAACATCCATTGGTAGAGTAGCCCCAGGAATTCATTTGACCTGGACAAAGTAGAGTGTTAGTTGAGCTGATAACTACTCATTCTATAAACATTCACAGGATCAGGTCCATGCCAGGAGCAGCTTGGCATTCCAAGATGCGTAATAGGTTCCTGCTCAGAGGGATGCATGAGGGGAGAGCAGCTCCTACCAACAAAGCCTCTGATGGGAACAGCACAAGGAGTCCTAGGAACCCCGGGGTCTCCTGACCCAGCCTGGGAGTCAAAAAGGGGTTGTGGAAACTTAAAGAATGAGTAGAGTGAACCAGATGAAAGAGGTGCCAGGAGACGGTGTTCCAGGCAGGGGACGTCTTACACAGAGATTAGGAGGCGAGACAGAAGACAACTTGTTTCTTAAGAGAGTTCTTCAGTTCCAGGTGGCATAGCTTCATGACTAAGGGCACAGACATTGAAACTGGACTAAATTGTGTCCTTAACCTCTCTGTTTCTCAGTTTTCTCATCAATTAAGAAGAAGAATAGTATTATAAGGATCTGAGTTAGTTAATGTGAGCAAAGTGTCCAGCACATAGGAGGTGTGTTGTTTACTCATTGCTCTTATTTGGTTTGGCTGAAGGTGTGGGGTGGGAGGATGTTGAGAGAGAAGCAGGAGAGGTAAATGGGGGCTTGCCGATCCTGCTGAAGAATATGAACAGCTCAGGAGAGCCATTGCCAAGGTCAGGGTCAGATCTGGCCTTTGGAGATAGTTTCCCCTGGCTGCAGCCTGGAATGCAGTTTGGAGGGAAGTAATAATAATGGATGGATGTTCCTGAAGATGGACAAGGTGGTGGCAGGGGCACAAACCTAGCAGAGAGCCAGCAAAGATAAAGAGGCTTGCAGTCAGGAACCAGGGTCTGGCATGGTGGTGACCTGCAGGGGCTCTGCAGTGACCAAGACCCAGAGAATCACAAGGATGCCACTGATGGAGGGTAAGCATTGTGGATAGATGATGACACTGATGAGAAGACTACTTGTCTATCATCCCCAGGAGCAGCAGAAGTCTTGGCTTAAGTCATACAACCTTGGGGAAAGGTGACACCAAGATTACAGAGATTAAGTTTCTGGCCCCTGGCAGAATGGGGCCTCGAAATGGAAATTGAGTGCAGTTTTAGAAATGTAAGGAAAATTGTAGTTTCAGTACTTCTGAGTGTGGGGGACTGAGGCTTGCATCTGCTGTGCAAATCTATCTTCCATCCAGGCTGTGAGCTCCAGGAAGGCAAGGACACATTTCCCGTTCTTGGCCAGGATTTTGTCAGCGCCCAGCTCAGCAGTGGAGCAAGGCAAATGCTCAATAGTTACGTGTGAAATGAATGAATAAAGATGGACCAGGGAATTTTCTGGCCGTCCAGTGGCTAGGAATCTATGCTTTCACTGCTGATGGCACAAGCTGAATCCCTGGTCAGGGAACTAAGATCCCACAAGCCATGTGATGCAGTCACAAAGAGAGAGAGAGATGGTTCAGTGACAGGTACTACTATGTTCAGTAGCTGGATTGAGTCCATTTTTCAGACAAGGAAACCAAGTCAGGGTGGTGACATCATTTGCTGAGTATCTCCCAGGGGCCTGACTGGGATTCAGGTCCAGTTCTACTGGTTTCAAAGTGGTACCCTTTCCATGAAACCAAGATGGGATAAACCAGGAGTCTATTTGCATGGGATTTGCAAATTATTTGGATATATGCCTGCATGATTTTTCTCTAGAGAGTTCTGTGTAAAGTATTGCTGTTCTTCTCTGCTAAGAGGAAGGATACACAGTGGGAAGAGCCCAGGCTTGAAGCAGGACATTTGGGGTCGGGTGGGGGGATGTCTCTGCTGGGCTGAGTGTGGGTCATGTGACAGGAGTCCTCTAGGCTCTACCCTGACTGCCCTTAGCTGAGCCCAAGGACCCAAGTTGTGGAATCCCAGGAAGGCTGGCCCCGAAGAGCCTGACGGTCACAGAGTCTAAGTTCTCACCCTCCCTTCTCCAACTCTGCCCATTTCACAGATGAAAAGACAAGCTTGGGAAAGCAAAAGGCCCCATGAAAACCCCTTCCTGGATCTAGTTTCATGTATATATGAGG